AAAGCCATTTTTTTAATGAGATAGGTCTTTCCAGAAAAAAAAATGTAAACTAACTCAATGTTGCGCTTCACGAAAGGGATAGCAAGCAGTTGGGCGAATTTTATGCCACCACCAAGTTCCCAAATATGACAAACGTCTTTATGCTTCAAAATGCGGTTTACTAACTTTAGAACAAGAAAGAATAGCCAAATGTTATTGCCAGGGATGCTCACGCTTACATTTCCTCTGGTTCTCCTTGCGTATAAGTATTCCAGTGCTATCGTTTCTTTCGGTTCCTCATTCTTGTCTAAGAACTTATGGATCAATGTTGATTTACCCTGAAGAAGGCTCGTAGAACTTTAAGGTATGGGTTTTGTGATTACAAAAACTTACTGATTGTGAACAGCCACAGATAACGATATGTGTCGTGGTTTTTTGTGGAGCAGCTTCGTCTGTAAACCCGATTTGAAGCAGATCTAATCCCAAACAGCCAAACTCAACTAACTTGTTCTCTCTTCTGTTCCTTCATTGGATTTTGCCAACTTTTCTTCATTCTCACGAAGCTTCTCCTTTGCCATTGCCCACATATCCATCATATTTGGGAAGAAAGAAGAGGTTGACCAGCTTGGCTAACGTAGGTTGATGGTTTCCAAGCGTTGCCATGGATACTTGGCGGACAACAGCTCTACCTGTTCATGTGTTTCAAAGAAAAAGCAGTCAATCAGAAAATTTCCACCACGGTTGTTTATAAAAAGGTTGAATGTTTCTTTTGTTGATATTGCCTTTTACAATTCATATTCGTCCAGTCATTCGTTTAATTAATTTTGTAGTTTTAGTATAAATTACAAGACGAGAAATTATGTTTAGCTTAAATTATGTGAATTAACAAAAGAGCTTAATGATTTAGTAAAAATACATATTTTTGGTATATGTTGCGGACATTTTCTAACACATTAACAAACCAAATTAGTAATAATGATTAAGAAAATTACGACATGATAGGCACACCAATTAAAATTCTTATGCAACTGCTCTTCTTCTTACTCGCGAAAAACATTCTTTTCCTTTTTTTTCAAGCACTTCCGTAGTTTTTTTGAAAAATGAGATGTCTTTTTAGCTCATTTACTGCTGTCAATCATTATCATTGATGTTTTGGGTTTTCTTATCAGTCAAAGTAGTCTCTGATTGCACTTTGCAACAGCGAGATGCAAACAAATTACTCA